CGTGACAGCTGAGCATGAAAATGTACACGGGGGCACATCTGATCATACAATTTCAGAGGAGCGCCCAAGGGACTCGGGCCCAGCCCAGGCATCCTGATGCAAGCACGGGGCAACTCTCGACCCTGAAGAACAAGTGGGGGCAGCAACACAACTTACCACTCCGTTAGAACTATTAATTCCATTCATATTAATTTTTGTTACAAATCTTACAAAGGGGGGTGCTTCTGGGTATTTAGGTCCACATTCTATTTTAAGGCTGTATATTCGGTTTTCATAAATTGTCTGGAAAAAAGAAAGAGTACAGATGTCAGGCAAGAACAGACAGAGGCGGCACAGGGTAGGACTTGCGAAACCCCACTCTCCCCGCCAGAGCGCGGGTGCAGGCTCCGGGTGCAGAGCCCACTCGGTACACGGTAACCCGGCTACAACTAGCCCTTGCACTGGTTTATGTGAATTCTGACCTCGGGAGAATAAAAAAGACCACCGGAAATTTCAGCCGGTCTCACTGAAGGGTGTCGTCATTACAGTCCATTACGAGGGAGCGGAATTCACACCAATCTCTCTCCGTGCAGACCTGCCCTCCTCTCTGGGGATGCTGTGGAAGGGGCATTCTCGATTCTAGGAAGCACACTGATGGCCGCGATCGGCAGTCTCTGTACTAAGTCTCACCCCGGGTGAAGCCCAGAATAGGCGCTGCCGCTGGCCGCCCTCTGCCCCTGCCATGTCGGTAGGAGCACCTTCCCCACACCTCCACAGCCCTGGGGTCTGAGGTTTGTGTCCATTTACGGGTCACATCCTAAGACAGGTGCTCGGGCAACATCAGACTCACCAACTAAACTCAGAACAGGGAGCGCAGGGGCTTCGGTCTGCGCCCCCCAGCAGAATCGGCGTCCAGATGCTGGCAGAGGGGAGCAGTGCTGCTCTTTACCCTTTTACAAGGTGAGGACTACGTTGCAATTACGATTATCTCCGAGAAGGGTAACAAGCCAGTAAAAGGACAAGTGGGAAGCAGAGAGGCATGATTTTCACACGAATTTATGGAAAATACTACAAACGACCATCCTCAGCACCTAGTGGTCTCTGACAGCCACACAGCACCCACGGGCCAGATGGATCCAAATCCATCTCAGGTGTGGCCAGCATTCACGTTCCACGGTTGTGTCGCACAGCTCAAAGGCAGCATTTCTTTCTTTCTTTTTTTTTAAAGAATTATATTATTGAGGCCGGCAGGCGGTGTGTTGGTTAAGGACGCTGGACATGGCCTACTGCAGTTTGAGTCCTGAACCTGGCAGCTTGCTTTCTCACCTCTCTGTCACTCTCTTAATTTTGTTTTTAAATTTTAAATTTAAAAAATTATTAAATTAAACTAACTAATTAATTAATTAATTTTAACTTGACCAGAGAGGGACAGAGTAAGAGAAAGAGAGAGAGAAAGTGAGAAAGCAAGCTGCCAGGTCTGGGACTCGAACTGCTGTAGGCCATGTCAGAGTCCAGCACCCCCAACCACCACAGCACCTGCCAGCACCAATAAAATAATTCTAAAAAAAAAAAGACATATTATTCTATTTATTTAATTATTTTAATTTGACCAGAGATGGAAAGGGTAGGAGAGTGAGAAAGCAAGCCGCCAGGTCTGGGACTAGAACCTCGGTCATCCAATGTGGGAGTCCGGCGCCCCTAACCACCATATCACCTGCCGGCCTCCAAAGGCAAAATTTCTTCAAGATTTTTAAAAATCTGCGATGACCACACTGGAGGCTCTGAGGCCCCGATATTCACCTACAGCAGGTTTTGGGGCTCTCTGGGGCTGGTAAGCCTCGCTGGTCATTCTAGCTACTGATAGTACACTCGGAGCATGGGCAGCCAAGAATGGGGTTCTGATCATACCAGATCAGATCTCAGCATTATTCTCAATGCCATAAAGTCAAGTTTGAAAATATCTGTGCAATAACTAATTTCTTTTTTTAGAATTATTTTTATTTATTTATTTATTTAGGAGAGGATTTTTGCTACAGAGTGCATGTGCTCACCAGAAAGACAGAGAGAGACAGAGAGACAGAAAGTAAGAAATCACCCCCCCAGGGGGGATGGCCACACCGCAATCCCTTCTCCTCCATTCTCCTCTCGGGATCCTGGGCACGCACACATACATGTTCGGTGTGAGGTTGGAGTTTAAGCCACGGGGTCAAGGACTTGAACTGCGGTTGACTACATGAGAATCCAGCGACATAGCCATTACGCTGACTGCTGGCCTCAAATTATTTTTTATTTAACTTTACTTATTTATTTTAATTTAACCAGAGAGGGAACAGAGCAAGAGACAGAGTGGGAAAGAGAGAGTATGTGAGAAGGCGAGCCACCAGGTCTGGGACTCAAACCCTTGTCGGCCATGAGAGTCCAGCACCCTTAACCACCATGCCACCTGCCAGCCCCTCGACCACTAATTTCTTAAAAAATAAAATGAATAGGGGCTGGCAGGTGGTGTGGTGGTTAAGGGCATGCACTAGACTCCCACATGGACGATCGCAGTTTGAGTCCCAAACCCTTCGGCTTGCTTTCTCACTTTCAATCTGTCCCTCTCTGGTCAAATTAAAATAAACAAATAAATAAATATATAAAGTTAAATAAAATAATTCTTTAAAAAAAAATAAACATCAGAAACCCATAGAAACTCTGACCACTGATGTCCCACTAGAACGTTGCTGGCTCAGTGAGAAATGTCTTCTGGAAGTGAGCAGAGCCACCTGAAGGTGTCACTGAAAAGCCCATGCAGCTGCTAGGCGGTGTGGGGGTAAGGTGGCTGGATCCCACATGGCCAACCCTGCAGTCTGAGGCTGAGACCTGGTGGCTTGAAAAACATGCCAGCTGTGTGTGTGTGTGCGTGCCCTAAATCCCAAGAGGGCGGAGAAGAGAAGAGACTGCGGCATGGCCATCCTCCCAGGGGTGATTTCTCACTTCCTCTCTCTGGTGAGTGCACACATCCTATGGCAAAAATTTTTTAAAAAAGAACAACAGCAACAAATCACCAAGCAAGGAAGCCTTTTATAGGACCTGCTAAAAAGATTTTAGTGAAAATAAATAAATAAATAAATAAATAAAATAAAAGGAAATGTGCCCTAGGGAGAATTGCTGGAATGTTCTGTCTCCGAGGAACACTGCTCTTAAAATTCATTATTTGATCATGAAATAAACACTTTCCACTTTGTCAATAAGCTTCATAGGGCAATTTGGCAATGCCTATCAAAACGTGAAACAGGCGTGTCCAGACCAGCAAGTCACTTCTAGGAATTTCCTACAGAGAAGGAGAGGCGCTGTTCACAGTGGACGCAGAATCTGTGAGCCCTGTGAAGGGACTGCGGGAGGGCCTGCCTCACTACACAGGGCAGCCATACCATCGGACACTGTAGCCTCGTGTACACACACACACACCTGCCAAGACTTAGCACTTCATAAAGACTTGCTCTCTTTACGAAGAGTGACACACCTTCCTTGGACTCCAGATAGCCGTGTGCACACAGGCTCTGTCACCACCAGGCAGTACGGCCCCAGAACCTACAGACTGCTAACTATTCCAGGACCTAAGAAGTGTGTGTGTGTGTGTGTGTGTGTGTTTGTGTGTGAGAGAGAGAGACCGTGATAACCCTGGTGTAATCATCAGAAAAACGCTGGATTCCAGGCAGAGACCTTCTATAGGAGACCCAACTAGGACTCCTTGAAACTGGCCAGAGCATCAAAAATGAACACCCGAGAACTGTCAGGGTGCAAGGCCGACTCGGCGTGCTGTGGTACCTTCGACGGGATTCTGGAACAAGAGACAGAGACAAGGATGGGGCTGGCGGGTGGCCTGGTAGTTAAGGGTGCGGGACTCTCACGTGGCCGACCGCAGTGCGAGTTCCAGACCTGCCAGCTTGCTTTCTTACTTTCCCGCTCTCTCTCTCCCTCTTTTCTCAGTCTCTTGGGTGCCACAGGACCTGTTCCAGGCAGTTTCAATGCCCCATTCTCAAGCCAGCGGCAGAGACGGTTTCCTTCCACCCTGGCTTGGGCAGCCAGCTCCCGTCTGAGGAAGGCAAAGCCATCACCGGATCCTCTGGGCTTTGCAGGTAGCTGAACACGTGAGGCCCAAGTGCATATGTGGCCCTGTCCTCCGCCTGCATTGCTCCTACACCAAATGACATGCTGGGCTTTGTCCCTTGCTTCCTTCACTTACGAGCCACAAGACCAAGCTGTCACGACACACAGGGCCTGTCCCACTCTTCAACAGGGCAAACGTACGGGACGGGGGCTACTGCAAGGCACGGAGGTTGTTTCCAATATTTTGCTGTTGACAACTGCATGAGAGCATGCTGCACGTGGTCTTTGGGAGATGCATTCTAGAAAAACTACAGGGAATGCTAGCGGAATTGCTGGATCACATGGTATATGCTTTTTAAATTTTGAAGAAAGATTTTCTTTTGGGAACCAGCAGTTAGCGTAATGGCTATGTCACTGGACTCCCACGTAGTCGACCGCGGTTCACGTCCCGGACCTGGTAGCTTAAAACTCACGCCGGGCGCGTGTGCGTGCGTGCCCAAGATCCCGAGAGGAGAATGGAGGAGAAGGGATTGCGGCGTGACCATCCCCCCTGGGGGGTGATTTCTCGCTTTCTGTCTCTATGTCTCTCTCTCTGTCTGGCGAGCGCACGCGCCCTACAATGAAAATCTCTCCAAAAAAAAAAAAAAAAGAAAGAAAGATTTTCTTTTGAGTAAAGCGATAACAAAAACACAATAGAAAGATAAATTAATCAAGTGTTCTATTTAGAGGCCTTAAAATGTTGCCATTCCAGTTGTACAGCGTATATCTTGTATGCTAATCATAAAATAGATTGGTCAGAGCAAGCCCCTAGAAATGGATAGGTCCTCGTATGTCTTTTGTTTTTAACCTCAGGGAACCAGGGTGATAAAAACTACAGGGGCTGGGACCTGCAGCTGGCATAATGGCTATGTTGCTGGATTCCCATGTGGTTGACTGCAGTTCAAGTTCCAGACCCGGTGACTTAAACTCATGCCGGGCGCATGTGCATGCATACGCAAGATCCCGAGAGGAGAACGGAGAAGGGATTGCAGAGTTTAATGATTAAACAAATACAATATGTCTGGGTAATGAAATGTTACCGAGGAACAAAATACTGACAGAGGCTACAATATGGATAAACCTTGAAAAACGATGCCACATTAAAAAAAAAAAAAAAAAAAAAAAACCCAGCCATGGGACCAGCAGATGGCGTAATGGTTACGTTGCTGGACTCCCACATAGTTGATCGTGGCTCGAGTCTCAGACCTGAAGGCTTGAAACACACCAGGCGCATGTGTGTGTGTGCCCAAAATCCCAAGAGTAGAACGGAGGGTAATTTCTCACTTTCTGTCTCTGTCTCTCAGGCAAGTGCATATACCCTATAACAAAAATCTGTCTCTTAAAAAAATAAAAAAAAGAAAAGAAAGACAGTCATAGAAGACCACATACTGTATGAGTTCACTTATGTGCTAAGTCCACAAGAGGCGAGTTCTCAGAGCAAGAAAGCAGATCATGACTGTCAAGGGTGGGAAGTGGGGCTGGGAGTGGAGTGAGGAGCGGCTGCTGGTGGGTCTGGGCTTCTTCCTGGAGCAAAGATGTTCTGATATCGGTGTGGTTACATGACTCTGGAATATGGCAAAAACCACTAAACAGTATACTTTAAAAGGGTGAGTCCTATGCCATACAAATTACATTGCAATAAAACTATTAAAAAAACCCAAATGTACAGAAAGTGGGACAGCAGTTGGTGTAATAGCTGTCGCTGGACTCCCATGTAGCTGACCGCGGTTCGAGTCTCGGACCCGGTGGCTTAAACTCACGCTGTGTGTGTGCACGTTCAAGATCCTGAGAGGAGAATGGAGGAGAAGGGATTGCAGTGCGGTCATCCCCCCTGGGGGGTGATTTCTCGCTTTCTGTCTCTCTGTCTCTGTCTTTCTGGTGAGCGCACACGCGCTATAGCAAAAACCTCTCACAAACAAAAACAAATGTACAGAAAGCACCTGGCATGCTGTAGCTACCCCTAAAACTTAGCCCCCGGGGGGGCCAGCAGGTGGCGTGGTGATTAAGGGCGCTAGACTCCCACATGGCTGATCGTGGTTCAAGTCCCAGACCTGGTGGCTTGCTTCCTGACTTTCCTTCTCTCTCTCTTGCTCTGTTCCTCTCTGGTCAAACTTAAAAAAAAAAACAAAAACACTTAGAGCCCCTTGGGGAATATTAGGTGAAATATTTCCAACAGAACTTACTTCTTCAACGTTTTGGTTAAGTATACAATTCTGTGGCATTTGGTGTATCCACAATGCGGTACACTGGTTCATTCTTGATTTGTTAGAACCTGAGTGTCAGTCAGTTGGCTAATAAACATACTGACTCTCCCTCTCCAGGTACATGGGAGCAAGGAGAAAGGAAGACTTGTTCTTATCCGCAAGAAACCATTCTTAGAAGAGAAGAAATGCGGCGAGGAAGCTGTCAGGTAGAATGGACTTTCAGAAACAACAAAGAAAACCATCTCCATGGAGAATCGAGATTCCACACTGCTTTTCCCTAGTAAAGTTCTGGTCTGCACAAGGGTAAAAAGATAACCGAGTAAACAGATGGAACATGTGCACGTGTGTGTGTGTCCACCAAGGGGACCAGCAGGTGGTGTGGTGGTTAAGGTGCTGGACACTTCCATATGGCTGCGGTTCGAGTCCTGGACCCGGTGGCTTGCTTTATCACTTTCTCTCTCTCTTGTCAAATTAAAATAAATTAATGAACAAATAAAATTAAATAAATCATTCTTTAAAAATAAAAACAAAAAACAAACTCACAAAACCACAGGGTAACAAAAATGACTCAAGAAGCAATCTTGATTGGCAAAGTTGGCTACTCAGCAGAGGCACGCTGGTGATGGTCTACGGTGAATGTCTGAGGGCCCTGGCACTTAGAGAGCGCCCTGTCCTACTCCCACGTGCTTGTGCAGAGCCTCAAGTGCAGTGGAATGAAAGGCACCCTTGGGGGGGCACTGGATTCCCACATGGACAACCGTGGTTCGAGCCTCAGACCTGGTGGCTTGCTTTCTCACTTCCTTTCTTTCCCTTTCCCTGTTAAAAATAAATACATAAATAAATAAAGTTGCATAAAATAATTCTTTAAGGAAAAAAAAAAACGGCACCATTGGCACAAGCAGACACAGGGCGGGACCCACTACGTAGGTGGCATCACCTGCTGCCTGTCTGAAACCAGTGTCACCACGTGGGACCCTTCTTTCCGACCCCTATGTCAAGTTACTACCGAACACTGCGTCATTCCATAAAGTACCAAATGGAAACTGCAAATGTAAACCAGAGGGAGACAACGTGGCCTAGCACCAAGAGCAAGCATTCTGGGCTAGGTGGCGGCACAGGGCTGACACAACAGGACCAGCATGGGACCGTCCCTGGTTCACCTCCCATGGCCTCTCTGTGCACGCTGGGTGCATGGCCACCCATGATCTGGGCTGGTGGAGGCTGGGCTGGGTCGCAGCATAGGAACCCTGTTACAGGTGTCTGTCTGTCTATCTGTCTCTCTCTCATTGAAGAAATAAACAAATCAATTTTAAGAACAAACAATAATGGGCCCAGCAGGTGGTGTGCTGGCCAAGGGACTAGATTCCCAAGTGGATGACCTGGTTCAGATGACCTGGTGGCTTGCTTTCTCTCTTTCTCTCTCTCATGAGTACGCATGTCTTGTAGAAAATTAAAAAAAAAAAAATGATGATGATAAATAAAATTAAATAAATAATTCTTTAAGAAAAAAAATGAAAAAGAACAAACAATAACAAAAAACTTTCTTTAAAAAAAGGGGTGGCCCGGTAGGTGGTGCCAAGGTTACAACAGCTGATGCCACATGGTTGACTGTGCAGTTTGAGTCTGGACCCAGCAGGTCAGAAAACACACGGGCACAGGTGCCTGAGTGTCCAAAAACCCCTACGAGGACAATGGATTAGGGACTCAGCGTGGCCATCCCTCTGGGGGTGACTTATCACCTTCCTCTTCTGTCTGGCAAGTGCACGTGCCCTACAATGAACGGGGCGTGCGCGCGCACACACACACACACACACACACACACACACACACACAGTCTCTGGTCAGACAACCTGATTTGGGACGACCAGCTACATGCCTTTGGGGAGGTGACTTCGCCCTCTGAGGCTGGACCTGGTGAGAAGTAAACGGCACCTTCTGAGGGTCTACTACCTACCCTGGAAGAAAGGTCAGCTGGTGTTAGAAAGACCAGGTGCTCTCCCAGGTCACAGAGCTCTGAGTTCCCTTCCCCACCCAGGCCGAGCGGCCCGATGGACGATAGACGAGGTCGCAGGTGCACGGCAGCCCCGGAGCAGGCGCAGAAGACCACAGCGGTGCTGGCTTTCCAAAGTGCATCCTGAGTGTGGCCTCAGGCCCTGGCTACGCCTGCAGCCTGGTATTTGATCCACCCGAGTTCATGCTAAACTACACCTGTGGTGCGTCAACCTCGAACCTCACTGTGTACATCGCCATGAAAATTCACACTACACGTCTGAACAGCTTTTTGCTTACCATTTAGAGGGATTAAACAGCATCAGAGGAGGTTCAAATATATAAACTGAAACTGGTCAAAAAAGAATAGCCACATTTCAGAAAATATACCATTGGTGAGCGTTTTTCCATAAGGCTAAAGTGTTTTTAAAGGAGGCAGAGTGAACGTAAGACATTGACATTTATAGCCGCAGCTCGACGCTTACTCTTGGAGGCCCAATTACCATCCCTGTCCACCGTGTAAGCGTCATGTCTTCGTCATCTTCTAGACCCCAGCTAACTGTGCCATCTCCTACTCCTTTCTGGCCTTCTTCGAGTTCTTCCAACAGTCGGAAATTGCGAGGGACTTTTACTCCTAAAATAAACGGAAAGAAATTCAAGATACTAGCAACTCCAGGGAAACCTGTAAGCCTAGAGCTGGACACTCTTTTTTTTTTTTTTTTGGAGAGATTTTCACTGTAGGGCGCGTGCGCTCGCCAGACAGACAGAGAGAGACAAAGAGACAGAAAGCGAGAAATCACCCCCCAGGGGGGATGGTCACGCCGCAATCCCTTCTCCTCCATTCTCCTCTCAGGATCTTGGGCATGCACGCACACGCGCCCGGCGTGAGTTTTAAGCCACCGGGTCCGGGACACGAACCGCGGTCGACTACGTGGGAGTCCAGCGACAGAGCCGTTACGGTAACTGCTGGTTCCCGAGCTGGACACTCTTTATCACCACCTGGGAACAAAGACGCTAGCATCAACAGTGGGCGGGAAGTGGTCACGGGAACGGGCCTGTGGTTCGGTGACAAGCGACGGTCATGGTGAGAGACACCACAGCCCCATGCCTCTGACACACGCACACGGGCTTTACACGTTGGAATGTTGACTCACTTGGTCCTCCAGGGAGAGATGAGAACCACTGATCTCAACGCCAACAAAAGTGCACTGGGGGCCAGTAGGTAGCACAGAGGCTAAGGCAGCTGGATCCCACATGGCCAATTGCACAGTTCGAGTCCCAGACCTGGTGGTTTGAAGAACATGGGGGGAGGGGGAACGGCAGGTGGTGTGGTGGTTAAAGGCGCTGGACTCCCACATGGCCAACCACAGTTGGAGTCCCGGACCTGGCAGCTTGCTGTCTCACTTCCTCGCCCTCCCCTCTCTCACTCTGCCCCTCTCTGGTAAAATAAAAATAAAATAAATAAATAAATGAAGTTAAATAAAATAATTCTTTTTTTTTTTTTGGGGGGGGAGGTTTTCGCTATAGGGCATGTACGCTCGCCAGAAAGACAGGAGAGACAGAGAGACAGAAAGTGAGAAATCACCTCTCAGGGGGGATGGCCATGCCACAATCCCTTCTCCTCCTTTCTCCTCTTAAGATTTTGGGCATGCACACACATGTGCCCGGCATGAGTTTAAGCCATCGGGTCTGGGACTTGAACTGTGGACAACTACATGGGAGTCCAGTGACATAGCCATTACTCCATCTGCTAGTCCCAAATAAAATAATTCTTATGGAAAAAAAAAAAAAAGAACATGTGGGGTGGAGAGATGTATATGCCCAAAATCCTGAGAGGAGTGGAATAGAGGGGACTGCCATATGGCCATCCCCACTGGAGGAGGTGCTTTCTCATTTTCCCCATCTCTCTCTTTCTCTGGTGAGAGCCCTATAACAAACTTTAAAAAAAAAAAAAAAAGATGCTTTAGAAGACGGAGGTCCACTTTGTCTCTAGTGTCCATTACAATTTTGAATACTTTTATGTCCTCCAGTCTTTCAGTCTCTACCACAGAGTGCAGACAGTCGGTGTATGGTAAGTGGAGACATACAATGCCTCTCTTTCATAGCCCGACTTGCTTCACTCAGCAACAAAGTGGGAAGAGAGTGGGAGGGGAAAGCGTAGGGAATCTGGGGGAAGTGGACAGGTAAGACTTGTGGGACACAGACAAGGTTTCTCGTCTGTTGACGAGGATGTGTACGGTGGTCTCGACTGGGCTGGACTGAGGTGTAGATCATGCGGGGTAAAGTCTCTTCACAATCTAAATGAGGTACGGCAATTTAATGTATGAATAATAATAAAAACAAATAATTAAAAAAAAAGAAGACGGGCCTTTTGTTTTGTTATCACACATTTCTGAGGCTGAGGGGAAGCTCATTTGTAGGAAAGACTCTCAGCCTTGGGTGGCAGAGTCGACATGAATGTATCAAATTAAAAATGGTGTCCTCTTAATCAAGAGTCAATTGGGGGTGGCCAGCAGGTGGCGTAGTGGTTAAGGCTCTAGACTCCCACATAGTTGACCATGGTTCAAATCCTGGACCAGCCGTATGCACGTGTGAGTGCCCAAAATCCTGAGAGGAGAATGAAGGAGAAGGGATTACAGTATGGCCATCTTCCCTGGGGGGTGATTTCGTGCTTTCTGTCTTTCTGGCCAGCACAAGTTCCCTATAGCAAACATCTCTCCAAAACAAACAAAAAAGTCAATTGGCCGGCCTGTGGCCAGGTGGTTAAAGGGGGCTGGATCCTCCACCAACAGCGCAGTTCGAGTCCCACAAACACCAGGGCACCAGTCACGTGTCACCTGATTCTCTTGGAGAGCCTCCCACGCTATGACACGCCCTGAGTTCCAACTTTGGCGGTCGTCACTGAAACGTGTTCAGACTGTTCAATGAACAGGTCAAAGCACCGCAGCTTCCACAGCTAAGCCTTTCGCTGCTGAAGGGAAGTTACATGGGGGACCTCTATTTGCAGTGGCTCTTTCTGGCAAGATTTTAAAAAAATATGGGGCCAGCCAGCTGCAGTGTTTAGCGTGGCCAGGTCCCACATACTCAACTGTGTAGTTCAAATCCTGGACCCAGTGGTTTGAAAAGCACACCAGGCACATGTGCGTGCATGTCCAAATCTAGAGAGGAGAATGAGGGAGAAGAGAGTGAGGTGTGGCATCCTGGGGCCAGGGGTGCTTTCTCACTTTCCTCTCTCAGAGGCTCTGTCTTTCTCTGGCAAGCACATGAGCTTCATGGCAAATTAAAAAAAAAAAAAAGTGCTACTTTCCTGTGCTGGGTATTTAAAAGCTGGCCTGGGCCAGCCAATGGCATGGTGGTTAAGGCGGTTGCTCCCACATGGCCCACTATAGGGTTTGCACTGTGGAACTCAACGGCTTACAAAACACCCTTGGTGCACGTGCATGTGCGCCCAAACTCTCGGGAGGGGAAGGGCTTGTAGCATGGGCATCCAGCTGGGGGGGGGTGCTTTCCCATTTCCCCCTCATTCTTTTGCTTTCTTCTGCAAGCTCATGTACCCTATAGCAAATTTTAAAAATAAATAAAACTTGGCCTATTTCTTTTCTTTTTAAAAAGAATTATTTACTTAATTTTATTATTATTATCATGTTTTTTGAGAGATTTTCACTGTAGGGCGCGTGCGCTCGCCAGACAGACAGAGAAAGACATAGAGACAGAAAGCGAGAAATCACCCCCAGGGGGGATGGTCACACCGCAATCCCTTCTCCATTCTCCTCTCGGGATCTTGGGCACGCACGCACACGCGCCCGGCATGAGTTTTAAGCCACCAGGTCCGGGATGCAAACCGCAGTCGACTACGTGGGAGTCCAGCGACATGGCCATTACGCTAACTGCTGGTTCCCATTTTTATCATTTTTTAAAGAACTATTTTATTTATCTTTTCTTAGAATTATTTTATTTAACTTTATTTATTCATTATTTATTTCAATTTGACCAGAGAGGGACAGAGTGAGAGTGAGAGTGAGAG